CTCTAACTATAAGACAGGTTTTCTAATCCTTTAATCATTCGTGTCTCTCTTCTGTGACCCCTCACTGATTTAGCAGTGTGTGACTGTTGTATTGTGTGCTACGCTTTGGTCTTCAGCCATGCGGCCTGGGCAGTTGTTTGCTCTTCTTTGTTCCTTAGTTAAGCAGGGATAAGCCTGGCCAGTAGTTGGATGTTGGACTCTGAGAGCCCGAAGCTGCGGGAGATGTTCTTGGGAATGACGACTCAGCAAGTGCTGCTGTTTCTATACTAACTCAGAGAGACCTGTCCAGAAGAGAAAGTGAGGCGGGTGCGTGTGGTGTTGGCAGTGCAGCTTTTCAGAGGACTAGTTAAAAAACCACACCTGATAATTGCTGTCATTAAACGTCCCATAGCTTTTTACAAGTTAGGGTGGTTATGCCTGGGGTCCTCGCCAAATTTCACTTTGCATGAGTTATGATGTGTTTACCTATAGTATCCCATACAGGTTCAACTGGGTGCAGAATTCTTTATTTCCTGCCCGAAACTATTGTGTAATGGTCTGTGAGCTGTTACCAACAACGGTATTGCACTCCAGAGATTGGATATGTGTCAGTGTTAAGTACAGTGTAAACACAGTAGCTGTTTTATCATACTATACAATAGATGTTGTCAGAGTATGTTGCAGACAGAACTGGTAACTACACCCAGAGTTAATATTGCTGAACACTTTTCATTATATGACTCTTTTTTCAGTTGCTCATAAGTTTGTCAAACTTCCACCATTTGATTTCAATTTTTTCATGCCAGTTCTCTGTTTCAGGCTGGTTTTCTCTCACCTCTTAAAGTTTCAGTTAAAACAGGTCAGCAGTTTCTGAAGATGAGATTAGGGGAAAAAGAGATTGTTTTGTCCAGGTTAAAAAAATTCCTAACCATTTTGTTGAGAAGCTCTGGAATCTACGTTGTGGGATAGGGACTTGGAGATTCAGCAGGGAGGTCATCGTGGTATCCGAGTTGTGCTTTTTGCTTTCCTGGTGAAATTTTGGCCAAGTTATAAGTTCCTGAAAAATCTTTTTGCGTGTGCCCAGTGAAGACTGTTTAGACTTTGGCAGCTAAACTCTCCAAGCGTTTTGTGTGTTCCGAGCATGCTTAATCCTGGGGCGGAGAAGGACTTGTTCTGCAGTTGCTTCTCCTGGCTGTTGGTTGCTGTTGGAGCAATAGGTGCTGGAACTGAAAGCCGGTGAGGCTCTCTTCTGTGCTCTTGATGTCCCCACAACTGGTTCCCAACCAATGTGGAGAAGGAGGTAACTGCCTGGCTGGAATGCAGAGGGATGGGAGGCAGAGGGTGGAGGACAGCCTGGGAGAGGGTGCACATAATAAGGGTTTATAACAACTATAACAAAGGCCCCTCCTGAACTTGGGATTGAACCCAAGATTCCTGAGTCTCCACGTTCCTCTGCTTTCAGCAAATAGCTGTGAAACCCACTGTCGTCGTCCTCTACTGGCAGTTCCATGTTGATGATAACAGCCTACTACCGCTACCATTTACCTCACTAGCTCAAGTGGCAGTGGCTTGGTGTTGTGGCTCTATAACCGCCAGTCTCTAGAGTCATTCTTACTCTTTCTCTTACTATTCAGGTGTTTTAAACAAAATGGAACCGCTTCAGCAGGAAAGATTGAGAGAGACCCTCTCAGAATACCCCATAGCTTAGTGGTTGGGGCACTCGCCTGGATGGTGTGGGAGGGAAGGGAGGTCGGAGTTCAAGTTCATGCTTTGGTTTTGGCTTGGATTGAGTCACATTTTTAGTTATTTATTTTGTTTTGGTTTTCAGAGCTGCCAGCAAACCAAAAAATCAGTTATTTGCACAGCTCTTATTATGATACAGTCTTTGACTACATGATTGCAAACTGTTTTTCCCCCCAGGACGTGGACTCATTGAGTGCACAGAATGAATGGTGCTTGTTGAATGGGTAGTTACTTAACATTTCTTTTTATCCTCATTGCTCAATATGTGGCTTTATTTAACGCATATCGTCTGAACCCTGCACTGAATGCAAAATTAACTTTTTTCCCATGCTACTGTCACCGGAGTAGCTGAAAGCTTCACAAATGTTAATGAAGGTACCTTTGCAATGGCTAGGCAGTGGTATTATCTCCATTTTTCAGATGAGAAATTGGCAAAAGTGTCCACTAATTCTGGGTGCTCAGTCTCAGACATCTGGGACCTGATTTTTCACAGAAGGTATCATTTGTATAGCACTTTTTGGTCAAAGCACAGCTCCAGTCAACTTCAGTTGCAGCTGCGAGCACTCAGCACTTCTGGAAATTTGCTCCAGGTGTTTCAAGCTGGGTGCCCAGAAAACGATCTAAGTCACTTGCCCAGCCTCTCATCTAGGAGATCTGTGGCACCTGCAGGGATAGAGTTCTCCAGGGTGACATTCAGCTGCCTTAACCAGAAGATCATCCTTTCTCTTCCTGTAATCTCCTGCCTCGTTCACTACTCACCTTTCAACTTCTGCAACCAATGTGGCGGGGGCCCTACGGGCGCCCTTCCCTACCCGACTTGGATGAATTACCAGATCGCTATCCATTTACCTGCCCTAAATACATTGTGAAATAATTGGCTAAACCACACTGCGTCTCAGTGTTTTTGTTTCCAGCAATAGGACTGTCAGGCACTGTGATAAATGGACAGACAGCTGGATCTGGTTTTACTGGGGCACGTGTTGGTTCCTCTGTTGCTGTTTTGTAACTTCTTGCAGCATGACATTTATAAACTAAAATGCTGCTTCCCCAAAATATCAAAGGAAATAAGGCCACTTTTCACCACAGACATAAAAGGCTTCTAATGTACAAGTGCAGCAAGCACCACTGTGGAGACGCACTCTGAAGAACAAAGCCGAAAGCTAATCACGTCTAATGCCTTTTAAGTTTATGCCTCCTTTTTCTCTTCCAGACTGTCTCACAGAGCTTGAAGGCTTCAGTGATTGCCTCACCAAGAATTGACGGAGGAAGAACCCTCTCTAACTTTTAAATGCCTCTTTTAATTTTCCTAAATCAACCTAGTGTCTGGGCCAAAATCCAGTTTTGGTGATCACATTCGATTTAACTTAATTCCTTTGCCGTTTCAGTTGCATTCAGTATTCTTCTTGGCTTCCAGTGCTTCCCTGTTGGTCAGTACTGTTGAAGAGCTGCTATATTCCATGCATGTGGTTGCAGTCCCGTGATAGATTGAGGTGATTCCTACATGCATATATGAGTTGCTATGCACCCTCAACTTCCATTGATGTTGGTAGGAGATAAGATGCTCAGCCTTGGTGGCACTGGTCCTGTCAACAGGGCTGCATGTATGCTTGAAGTTAGGCATGGGTTTTGGTACCTTGCTGAATCAGGCCTATTGTTTGTGAAGCATTTTGGGATCTTTGAGGATGAAAGCCACCACATCGATGGAAGTTGTTAGTCTATGCCACCTATAGTTACCATATACTGGGAATGGCCTAGTGGATAGAGCATGGGACTCATGAGACCTGGATTCTATTGGCACCTCTGCCACTGGCCTGCTGGGTGACTTCGGGCAAGAAATATCTCCTCTCTGTACCTCAGTTGCCCCATCTGTAAAATGGGGATAATGAAACTGACCTCCTGTGTGTAAAGTGCTGAGAGTTCTAGGGATGCAAGAATTTGGCATTGTTATTTTGCTAGGGACAGTATTGTGGCAGCTGTTAATCTTCTACCGCCAGCACTGGAAAAACATTTCTGTTTTCATAGCTGTGCCAAATGGGGCCACGTTACTTTCCTGTGCTGACAGCAGTTGATTCCCCTACTAAAGTGTAGGCATCAGCAAGAGAAAAATGATCTAGGAAAGCAAAAAGACCCAAGGAGGGAAGAGAAATTGAAAAAGAACAAACAGCTTCAGTGAAAACTTGGTGAGAGACAAGGCACAAGAGAGAAGGGGGCAGGCAGAGGGAAGAGATACATGACTGGGTTGGCGCATTGGCCTTTTAACCCTTGGAGACGTGGCTTTGTATATTTAATTCACGGGTTGGGTGGTTCGCAGGTCTGACCCCCGGTGGACAGGTATCTCTGTTGCGAAGCCACTGTGCAGTTTGGTATTGTTGGCAGCCTCTGCTCTGTAGAGGCCTAGGATTTTGAGTAGATGAGTGTGGAGGGGTATTATTTAACAAGAGATGCTTTCCTGGTAGACTTGATTGTCTCTGTCCACTGCTTTTTGTTTGGCAGCTTTGAGGGGAGATAAGACACACACACTATCAATCCTCCCTGATGGACAGACTTTGGGATATTGGTGCTGTACAGTTCTACTCACCTCTTTCCCTCCTCTTTTTTCACAAGTTTTTTTAAAATCCTTATTGAACGGAAGCCCTTTGGTTTGGAAAGGAGATTCCGTTTTATTAGAAGTCTTGCAGAGCTGGAGGTAGATATCAATTTATGGGCACAGAAATAATGCAAGGTTCCATCCACCCTGAGTTTCGGGCCCAAGTTTAACTGGGTGCGTCCCACAAATTTGTAAGCGTGGGCTCGGAGAATACTAAAAGCATTACCCAATCTCTTCAGGATCAGTACAGCTGATGATGTCATGATGTGATCTGATGTGTGTGGCATGTTGTCACAATACATCAAGACAAGTCAAGCCCTTTGTCATGGAGGATAGAGCTTTAGGGGGGGACCCATAATTATACTGATGTGAATTGGGTTTTGCCCATGAACAGACGAAAGCTTTTTGCACATTCAGGCAGCCAAATACGAGGGCACAGCTTTAGGTCCTTGCAGAGGGATTTTTCTGCATAATGCCCATCAATGTTGGTGAGAATTGTACGGCTAAATCCCAAGATTGCCCTTCTCTGCCATTCTTTGCTGCTGATTTCAACAGTCTATTTGAATGTTACTTATGATTAATGTTATGGGTGGAAGAAGGTACAAACAGTGGAGGATGGATGCTGTTTCCCCATGTGATCCCCCTTTCTGCCATGCTAAAGCAACAACTTTCTTTTTCTTTTCTTTTGCAGAAATTCAGAGGAGTGTGAATGTACGACCTGTTGGATGTGAGCTCCTTCTTCTAAAGCAGACTTGCAATATCCTAATCTCTTGCTTGCCTGGGGTAAGTGTTTAAAAAAAAAAAAAAAGCCATTAGCATGGCAAAGGGAGGACAAGTGGATTTTGTGCCTGGGTTAATACATTTCTGTGATAGTTTTGCAAGCTTGTCCTGCAGGATTAGGAATTGAAGGGCGTGACACGTGTAATTAGAAAGACATTGCTAAATTAATACCTAGATTGACAGGTCTGCCTTGTCTTATGAGTGACTTAGACCTAACAATAGGTCTGCTGTCCTTAATGTTCCTGTTACCTGAATGAACACTTCCTGCTGGAGAGGACTACAAGCCCATGGATAATTAACACAGTCCTCCATCATTCACGTACAATATAATGTGAGTTAATGGATAAAAAAGAAACAGTACTGACCCTGACTTGGAGTTTGGTTATCTTTTGTGATGCACTAAGCAGTTCTGCATGTCCCTATTTCTGTCAGTCTCCTTTGTGTACTGGCATCGGAGCACCGTGGTCCAGACTCGAATGCAAACTCCTCTAGACGTTGGATTATCTGAGCCCATTTCCAGATGTAAATAATCCAGGTGAACGATCTGCACCGAGTCCTGCTTATTCCCTTCCCATCTCTAGAGTCAGTTGAGATGGGTTAGAAGTTCATTTTTCTCTTCTTGTCTCTCCGGTGTCATTCTTCCTTGTTTTCCTTTGCCCTGTTCTGAGAGCGGGCAAAGCAGGCTTTTGTGTGTGTGCACCCCCTTTATAGGAAAGATGTGTCTGACAGATAGGTCTTGAGGTTTGTCCCCCAGCTGGCTGTTAAATTCCGTTACCTCTCACTTGCTCCCACAGGAGTCATGAGTCACCCAGGAAAGCTTGGGAGAAATTTGAGTGGTCCTGCCACTTATACTGAGAGATCCTAACAAGAGAGGGTGGAGATCATGTTATATTTCACCTTCTTCGGGTGGTTAAATGTCAGAGAAATACACATGATGGAAGAAACCCCATCGGTTGGGGCTTATACAACTAAAATGGGCAAGACCCTGGGAAAGGTGCTATGCACTGTTCAGGAGACAGGTCGGATGCTCTTACTGTTGCGCTGTCCGTATGGCAGCTGGCATCCCACTGTGATATTTCATTGTAACGGGGTAGGAGCTTGGGAAAGCATCTGTCAGCCGCTCTGAGAGAGACAGGAATTGTAAAGGGGACTCCTTCCCAGTCACCTTGGCATGCATTTGCTCTTTAACGGGATCTCAAAAGCTCCGGCAACTCTCTGCTTCGATCTTCAAAGCAAAATACGTCAACGAAAGGACACAATTTACAGTGTGACCCCCTGATCTTTTTGATCTTGAACAATCAATTAAATCTAAGATGTTGTCATTCCCCTCATTGCAAGAACTGTTAATAAGCTGAGGTGCCACATCAGTGATACAGCTAGATTTCCAATCTTTTTCTTTCCTTTCGGGCTGGGCCAGGGTCAGATTATTTACAAAGGCTGCTCCATAAATCTGCCTATCAGGGCAGATGTTAGTGTTCTGATGTTGCATTGGTGAAAGAAAACAATGTTGAACTCTCGTCCAGGTCTCCCCTCTAGCATGTAAAGTGATGGTAAAGCTCACTCCGCATCATGATGATGATGATGATTCACTGCATGTGCATCGTGACTTCCACCTGAGAATCTCGCGAGTGCCTGATATATATCATGAGAGGCAGGTCAGCCCTATGACTGGACAATGGACTTGGACTTTGGAGACACAGCAAAGCATACCAGAGCTGTGAATATAACCCAGGAAGTCCTTAGTTCCAGCTTATTGCACCCTAGTTGGTGTCAGTTCTGTAGTATGGTGTGAATGATTTTGCAACTGAAAATTTGTATTTTTTTTTTCCATTCTATTTCTGCTACGCCCACAAAGGAAGATATCTCAGGATACTTCTAATCTCTGTACCCTGCAAAGAAAACCTATTTCCTTTCACACGCTTAAGAACAGAAGTCTTGTTCTGAGTGCCAGTGAACACAATTTGTATTTGTTGCTTAACAAAGCCCTACCAGATCCTGGTGTGTTTTGACTAGCACTGTGTGGCTAGGTTGGTATGAATGTTCTGTGAACACTTTGGGAATCCCGAACACTGATGGGCGGTTGGTTGGGTTTTCCCCATTCTTAATGTTCATAGAAACAGTTCCTAGATGGCTCCATCCTGACCAGTTCCACAAAGACAGTATGCAGAGGTCAAGGTCAGTTTTTGGTTACCAATGAGAGAAGTTAATGGCATATGAGCCCAGTTTCTGTGGTTCCATGAATACAGCCAAAGCCTTCAAAAGCACAGAAGTCACAAGCCAGTGGGTTTTTTTTAAGGGAAAATATCAGGTAATGTAGGTCAAAAATTTATAATTTGGGTTTAAAAAAACCCACACCCTTTAATAGAATTTTTTAAAATAATTATTTCTAATATTCAGTTAAAACAATTCTTTTGGGGTAGGTTTTAACCACTCATCTGCAGTGTTTGCAACCTTATACGCTACATATTGGACAAGAATTGACTCATGTTTGTGAGGTGGCTCAGCAGATAATGTATTTATCCTCACAACACCCCTGGGAGGTGGGGAGGTGCCGTTATTCCCATTTTACAGCTTGGGAAACTGAGGCACGGAGCAGCTCAGTGACTTGTCCAGGGTCACACAGGAAGGCAGTGGACAAGCTGGGAGTGTATTGCTATTATTTATTTGTGCTATAGCAGTGCCCAGAGACCCTAACCAAGGTCAGGGTCCCATTGGGTTAGGCACTGTACAGATGCATAATAAGGAGACAGTTCATTCCCTGAAGAGCTGACAGTCTTACTAGATAAGACAGACAAAAGGTGGGAGGTGAAGCAGCGGTACAAAGAGGTGAAGTGATTTTTCCAAGGTCATACAGCAAGTTAGTGGTGGTCAGTCTTAGAACCAAGTTCTCCAGAATCTGGAAACCTTCCTTCCTCTACCTAAAATGCAAGCATCTATGAAGTACGGTGTGAATGATTTTGCAACTGAAAATTTGTATTTTTTTTCCCATTCTATTTCTGCTACGCCCACAAAGGAAGATATCTCAGGATACTTCTAATCTCTGTACCCTGCAAAGAAAACGGTCTCTCCCCCTTGTTGGAACTGAGTGAAAGAAAATCAGAGTTTTAAAATTCCTTAAGTTTTAATAATTGAGGGCCAGATCTCCGGGTGATGTGTGTGCGCGGGGCTCCAAGCATTGTAACGGGTAATATAATAACCTTTTGACAGACCTACCTGTCTTTCACCTGAAACTGACGAGTGAGGAAAGTAGGATGTCAAAGCACTCGGGTGCATTATTGCAGAACGTGACATTATTGCTGAGTTTAGTCATACAGCATCCTTCACAGGTGATGTGATTGTCAAAGGTAGATCTCCGTCTACTTGGACAGTCTTGCTGCATATGATGTGTAGAGGATAGGGTTCAAGTGCCTGGCTATATTACATGGCCCAAACGGCCAGCAAGCTTTGCTTTTTCTATAACGAGACAATTAACGTTAGCAGCAGGGGGTGATAGTCACTTTGAATGAACTAACGGGAAGGCACGGGAAAATGGCCGCGTTAAAAGGCCCCATCTATTGCACGAATAGATAATTCCTCTTAAGAACCATGTTTAAGAGGACATATCCATAAATACTAATAAGACTCTTTGATTCCAATTTTCAGGTAAGATGAACATTTTATTGAGTATTCTGTCTGTCACATTCAATACTTTAGCATGCCATCCTCTCAGGCTTATTAGCATAATTGTACTGCTTAAGCAACAATAAAAAATTCAGTGGTAAAATAGCAGTTAGCACAGGCAATTTGTTATCAAAAGCTTTTACTTAGGGAGATGTTCACAGCGTATTTATTAGTGAATTAGGGTTATAAATTATTTTTATTTAGAAAAACAAAAAGGGAAAGCGTTTTAGGAGGGTTTTTTTTTTTTTTTTTAAATGGTAAATTGGACAGACTGAAAATTGGTCATGGCTTCTTTTCCTGTTATGTAAAAGCTCCAGCAATTTACATATGTAGTGTAGAGGAGATTATAGAACTAACTTGGGTTTCGTGTCTCTTCTGAGCAAAAAGACTGCAAAATCTTCTAATGTCTGCTAGGGTGGCTTGGCAGTTTTTTCCCTGTTCCAACCCCTTCTCCAGCCTCAACAAAATTATTTCCCTTGCTATTAAGGAGAACCATGAGAGCCACTGAAAAATGCTTGGTTTCAGAGTAACAGCCGTGTTCGTCTGTATTCGCAAAAAGAAAAGGAGTACTTATGGCACCTTAGAGACTAACCAATTTATTTGAGCATAAGCTTTCGTGAGCTACAGCTCACTTCATCGGATGAGCTGTAGCTCATGAAAGCTTATGCTCAAATAAATTGGTTAGTTTCTAAGGTGCCACAAGTCCTCCTTTTCTTTTTGAAAAATGCTTGTGCACGGAGGTGCACATGACAGTTACACAGATGTCATCAGCCTCTGTGCTGTGGCTGGAGGCAGAACCAAACCTGTTAGTTGCTTCAGGAAGGAGCGGGCTCACCTCCTAGACAGCTTGCCAGCCTGTTCCTGCCTCGACAGTGCCTGAGACACTTTTAAAAGATTAGTCATTCATTTCTCATTAGGATATGGGTGAAACTCTCTTTAAAGTGGGTGTGGTGCTTGTGGGGAAGGAGGCTATGCAATGCTAGCTGGTTCTCAGTTCAGTTCCCAGAGGACCAGTGTCTATATCCTATAAGTGGCTCTATGTGTTGGACCAATTTGTTGTCTTTGCTGGCAGTCTAAGAAAATGAGGGGGTAGGGAGCGAATGGGCAAGGCAGCCAGATTTTCCCCCTTGGTCCAAGGTGTCTCTAGAGTAGAGCTGACATGCATTGGCAGAGTGCAGTGTGTGGACTGCAACATTACTGACCACTTGCTTTCTCCTCGCATTCAATGACGAAATTGGAAACGGTCCATTTCTAGGAAATATTTAACTGAGGTGTGCACATGCAGATGTTCCTACACGAAAAAGGCTTATTGCAAAGAGGCGGGGGGAATCTCACATTTTTCA